AAAGAAGAAGAAGATGAGGAAGAACAACAGGAAGGAAAGCAAGAAGAGAAAGAAAGAAAAGAAAGAAAGAAGGGAGGAGGAAGGGAGGAAGGGAGGGAGGGAGGGAAGGAGAATAGGTAGACGGTAAAGTTAAAAAGACTGAGGAGGAAAGAAAGAAAATAAGAAAGAAGAAGAAAAAACAAGAATGGGCAGATGGGCTAAAGTTAAAAAGACTGACAATACCAAGTGCTAACGAAGATTTGGAACATTTGAAATCTCATTCATTGCTGGTTAGAATATGAAATGGTATAACCACTTCGAAAAGGATTGACAGTTACACCTAAAACTGCAAAGCAATTCAGCATTCCTAAATCATATATACCAAGACAAATGAAAACCTATGTCCACACAAAGACAAATAATATTCACAGAACTTTATTCATAATAACCAAAAGCTGAAAACAATCCAATCAACTGATAAACAGAAAAACTGTGGCATATCCATTCTATGAAACCCTACTTAACAATGAAAAACAACACACTACTGATACAACATGGATGAATCTCAATAAAAGCATGCCAAATGAAAGTTATCAAAAACAAAAAGAATATATGCTGTTTAAACCCCATTACATGATATTCCAGAACAGACAAAACTAGAGGGATGAAAGCAGGTAAGTGGTTGCCTGGGACCAGAGATCAAGAGTAGGAAAATGGCACAAGGAAACACTTTGGATAATGGAAATGTTTTGTATCTTGATTATGGTAATGGTTATACAACTATTTAAGTTGTCAAATCTCAAATAATGTAAATCATATCTCAAAAAATGCTTAAAACAATGTTAAATTTTATCTCAAAAAAGCTACAGAAAATAAATTATCAGGTATTTTTTGTGAAGCTAGACAAGTTAATTAGAAAGTTTATTTGAAAAAACAAGCCACCAAGGACAGCCAGGAAAATCCTAGAAGCAAGAACAGTAGGGAAAGGGTGCCCTAGCACTACCATACATTAAAACATATTATAAAATCTCTCTAAGTAAAATACTTTTGTATTAGTTCATGAACAAAACATGCCACAAAATTCACAGACAAAACTGCATATGAATATTTAGTATACAATTAAGGCAAAACCTCAAATCAGTAGAGGAAAAAATGAATTTTTAAAAAATTTATCTTTGGGATAACTAGCCATAAGATAAAAGATAATCTTAAATATTGTTCACACTATAAGTCAAGGATAAAATCCAAATGGATCAGAAATTTAAATGTCAAATATTAAACCATTCAAGTACTGAAAGAAAATGTGGGTGAATTTCTCTAACACCTGGGAATGAGGAAAAAACCCATCCTATGATTCAAAACATAAGGGCAATGTAGAAAACTGATCAATCTGACTACATAGAAATAGAAAACTTCTGCACAGACAAAAACAAACACACAAAAGCAAAGCAAAACAACAAATCTCAAACTGGGCAATAGTAGCTTCAACTAATATTACAGATAAAGGATAAATATGCCTAATATATATAATATAGATACGTAAAACAGTAAAAGAAAACAATGACCTAAAAAAAAATGGACGACAGACATGAACAAATATTTCAAAGAAAAAGAAATTCAAATAGTCTTTACACTTCAATTTTTAAAAAGTTCAATATCACTAACAACTAAGAAAATGTAAATTTAAATTATAATAAAATACCATTTCTCACCTATCAAACTGGCAAGTCTGCTGACAAAAAGGTTCTTGACTAAGATCAAGAAGAAACAAACACTTGCATACATTGTTGAAATAAATGCAAATGGTTCCATCCCAAAGGAGTAAATACCCTTCAACACAACGATCCCACTTTTAAAGGAAACTATACTAAAGAATCACTAACAAAACTATTAAAAGACAGGCCAAGTGCAGTGGCTCACACCTGTAATCCCAACACTTTGGGAGGCTGAGGTGGGAGAATTACTTGAGGCCAGTAACTGAGTTTGAGATCAGCCTGGGTAATATACTGAGATTCTATCTCTGCAAAAAAAAATTTAAAAATTAGCTGAGCATGGTGGTGTGCACCTGCAGTCCCAGCTCCTCGAAAGGCTGAGGCAGGAGGATTCATTTGAGCCCAGGAATTCAAGGCCGCAGTGAGCTCTGATTGCACCACTGCACTCCACCCTGTGCAACAGAGCAAGACCTTATCTCTAAAAAACTATATATGGAGAAAGAGACACTTTTACTAGACTATTTACTGCAGCACTCTGTAAAAGCAAAGCACTGAAGCACCTGATTAAATAAACTATGGAGTAAGTCTTCATGACCTTGAGTTAGGCAAAGATTTCTTACGTACAACAGTAAAAACACAAGAAATAAAACGTTGTTATAAAGTCGATAAATTGGACTTCATCAAAGTTTAAAACTTTATTTTCTACCCCACTAGGCACACTAAAAAACTAGTACACTCAAAAAGTAGGTAATTACAAGTGTTGAGTAGGATACAGAGAAACTGGAACCCTCACACCATTACTGGCAGGGATGTAAAATGGTACAGACATAGGGAAAAAAAGTTCTGGCAATTTCTCAAAATGCTTAACATAGATTTACCCTATAATCCAACAATTCCATTTCTGAGTACCTACCCAAGAAAACTGAAAATATTATGTCACACAAAAACCTGTACACAAATGTTCACAACAGTATTATTCACAATAGCCAAAAAGTGGAAACAACCCAAATGCCCATCAATTGATGAAAGGATAAACAAACTGTGGTATACTGATTCAACGGAATACAGTGAGCCCTTTGTATCCATGGGTTCCGCATCTGCGGATCAAAAGTATTCAGGAAAAATATAACAATACAATAATAAAAAATAATACAAACTAAAAAGCAATACAGTATAGCAATCAATTACACAGCATTCACATTTTATTAGGTATTTTAAGTAATCTAGAAATGATTTAAAGTATATGGGATGATGCATAGAGGTGATATACAAATACTTTATCATTTAATATAAGGAACTTGAGCATCCATGGATGTTGGTATCCATGAGGGGTCCTGAAACCAATCCCCCACAGATACTGAGGGGTGACTATATTATCAGGAAATAAAGAATAAAATATTCATGCTACAACATATATGAACCTTGACAACATATGCTAAGTTAAAGAAGCCAGCCACAAAAGACCATATATTATATGATTCCATTTACATGAAATATCCAGAAAAGACAAATATATAAAAGACAGAAAGTAGACTGATGGTTGCCAGGGCTGGGGATATACGTGAGGTTCCATTCCAGGGAGATAAATAAGACTGTGATGATGGCTGTGATGCAGGATTTTTTGTCCCTTAGCTGAGCTAATCTGGGTTTTTGTCTCACAACCAGGAAGAATGAGGCATGCAAACACATTGAAGGGTGAGGAAGACAAAATTTATTAAGCAAAAGGAAAGCTATCAGCAAAGAAAGGGGGTCCTGCCAGTAGGTTTCCACCTCACAAACTGAAAACCAGGGCCCCAACACGCGAGCTGAAGAGGCCAGGATCCTCCCCTGTATAAGGTGCAAATTCTTGGTGGCTCCACCCTGTTCCCCCAGTGCATGGGGACCTCCAGTCCACTGCAGGCATGCCCAGGAAAGCCCCCTGTGCAGGTTCCCTTATCTGCAGACAACATCTGGTGTAAACACTTGTGGGCTGGGTGGATCAGTGATTCTCCAGGGACCCTTCCCTATCTGTTGAGACCTTTGTCTGCCTCCTCCCTCTATCAGCTGCACAGCTCTGAAAATTTACCAAAAATCACTGATTTGTATAGTTAAAACAGCCAAATTTTATAGCATGTGAATTATACTTTGATAAAGCTTTAAAAAAAAATAAGCCAGAGATTAGAGAAGATATTTTCAAAAGACTTAGGAAAAAAAAATTATAGATATAGATATAGATATCTAAAATCTCTACATAGTGTTCTCAAAATCTCTGCATAGGCTGACTATCGAAGGGCTTTCCCAGACAAAGCCAGTCTATATAAGACTGGAATAAGTACCTACTTCAAAAAGAAAGATAAACTAACCAATAGAAAAATAAACTCCACAAAAAATCTGAAATGGCAATTCAGATTAAAAAAAAAAAAACTCACTGCTCAATAAACTTAAAAGTAAACATGATGTAGAAGATCATGCTTAATTTAATCACTGCTTAAATTAAGATAAGTAAGTGTATGATTCATTGTTTCACTGCTATGCACAGTCTTTCATTTAGGTAGGTCTTCTAAAAAATAGTTAGGTTCAGCTCTCCTCAAAGCTCCAATTATAAACAGAATACACCAAGAAAGAGTTTATCATAATTTTCCCATTACACCTTCCCATTTTAGCTTGATATACACATCTTCAGCCTTCTTTTACTCCCAGGTACCAACTTTAGAAAAGAAAACCAAGGAATCATTTTGTTATTGTTATTTGTTTAGTTTTGCTTGATTTTTACTTATCACAATTCCATTATATTTGACCAGTAAAATGTGTCAGAGGTATCTAATTCTTTTTTTTTTTTTCTGAGACGGAGTCTTGCTCTGTCGCCCAGGCTGGAGTGCAGTGGCCAGATCTCAGCTAACTGCAAGCTCCGCCTCCCGGGTTCACGCCCTTCTCCTGCCTCAGCCTCCCGAGTAGCTGGGACTACAGGCGCCAGCCACCACGCCCGGCTAATTTTTTTGTATTTTTAGTAGAGACGGGGTTTCACCATGTCAGCCAGGATGGTCTCGATCTCTTGACCTCGTGATCCACCCGCCTCAGCCTCCCAAAGTGCTGGGATTACAGGCGTGAGCCACTGCGCCCGGCCTCTAATTCTTAATAAAATACAAGGAGATTCACATAAGACGGCACAAACATAAATAATACTCTCAACCCTTTTCCAATACCTTTCCCCTAGAAGCAATATTTTAAGTAATTAACCAAAAAAGGCAAGAGTTCAATTCATTTTGAATATAACTGGCAATAATCTGCCCAAAACACAAACATGAAATCAGCATGCAAATATGCACTAACCTTCCAGTAGTCAGACTGTAAACTGTAGTACCTCTGGTATGCAGATAATGCTGAAAGAAGGAAAATAATTTTGAGTCATAATTATGTCTCACTTTAAAGTCAATAATATACTTAACAAGCATTATAACAAGATTCCCACCACACCCACCTCCCAGTAGACAGTGATAGTTCAAACCAAACAACTTAAAATTCTGGGCCCCCCTCAGGAGTTCAAGAATGTAAAACCATGATCAAATCTCAGATCTGCAGTTGAACAGCATCTAGGCTAACCCCTTAGATCAACTTGACCTTCCTCAAAGATCAAAATCAAATGGTAAAGGATTAAGATTTTCCAAGGCGACTCCAGAATGTGCTAGATCATTTGTTCTCACAAGAGACCTCACTTCCAAGAATGGCTAACAACTCGACCACCTCAAAGAGCAAAAGAACTATTTCTTCTGTGATGCTTCCTTTCCTGCAATCAACAAAAAACTTACCCCCTAATTACCTTTCTCAACCTCAATTACAAAATAGGACATTACAAAATAGGACAACCCACCCACCAAAACCATCTTTAGGCATAAAAGGTTCTGAAAAACTTAAAAGTAGTTCTTGTCAACCTCAAAATTCAGTGAAGCGAACATAAAAAAGTAAAGTGAAAATTACATACGTACATTACAATTGGTAGAGAGTGCCCTTCTTAAAAAACAAAACACTGACGAATAAACCCCATCCCATACCAATTAAATCAGAATCTCTTAGGGCAGGAGGCTAAGCACTTATTTGATCCTACAAGTACAGGTATGACTGAGGGACACCCTAAAGACAAAGGCAGTAAAATGGACACTGAAGCAGGCTTAAAAAGTGACAGCAGCTCAGATACATTCTAATATGCTGGGGATGTTTAGAGATGAACCAATTTATAAATTTTAGACATGGTACAATAGAAGCAAATTGCAAACATTACGAGAAACTCTTTCATAAAATTAAACAGGCAAAGAGAGTTCAGAAAAAAATTAGACATAATGAAAAGAACTTGCTCAATCGGATATTGGAATTACCATAAAGTTGTAAGAAATGGAATAGAAAAGAACTGAAAGCCCCAAATGAGAACTTGATACATGTAGGAATTAGCACAGTAAATAGGTGGCATTTCCAATCAGTGGGGTGTTAATAATGTAACCAGCACCCAAGTATTTATAAGTAAGCAAAAAAGTAAAATTTGTAACTCAAATCATATACTAAAATAATTCAAATAATACATTAAAGAGTTAGATAAAAAAAGAAGCCCATAAAACTACCAGATGAAAACGTGGGGAATAATATTTTTCTGATCAGCTACAAAAGGATTTTTTAACTTGTGGTTTACAATTCACAATCTAAGATATGGAAGACCAGGATAAAAACTATTTGAGAAGCAACTGGCTCCCTCAACTCTCTCACTCAACACTTGATGTTGTTTAGGCAATCTGACCGAAAAAATACAGAGATTCTCCATCAAAAGGCCATGGAAATCATATTCAGAGATCCGCAATCACATGCTCAGAGCCTCCAGTTCTCAATTATTCCAATCATGAAATATGGACAGCTAAGAATTATCAGACATCTAAAGAAAGCCTCTAACCAAGAAGAAACTAACACAAACACAAAAAAAGACAACCTAAAACAAAAAATAGTGACTACTATGCAGGAGAAAATACACTTCAAAAAATTCTTACTAGTCTTAGATAAGCGAAAATATTGTTTTCATTGAGGGAGGTGGAGAGTTGGAAAGGGGGTGTGTGCAGGAGAACAAACAGGATGCTATAGAAAAAAATTAAATTCGGTAAATTAAAGTATGATAGGAGAAATGCATAATTCAATAAAAAGATTAAAATGAAATTTGAAGAAATTTCTCAAAAAAATAAACAAAAAGGACAAAAACGGAAAATTAGAAAAATTGTGTCCTGGAGGTCTAACATATCAATAATAGAGTCCCAAAAAGAAAGAATAAAAGGAAAAAAGAAAATTCAGGAAATAATTCCAAAAAAATTCCCAGAAAAGAAGGCTATGAGTTGGTAGTTTGAAGGGTCCTACAACAGATGTATAATTCTAAAAATAAGGCAATAGAACAATGTTTTCAAAATTCTGAAGGAAAATTATTTCCAACCTAAAATTATATATCCAGTCAAATGATCTATTAAGAGGGTAGAATAAAGGTATTTTCAGATACGCAAAGTCTCCAAAGAAAATTATCTCCCAAATACCTTTCCTGAAGAAAAATCTGATATATGCTCCCCTTAAAGGAGAGTATATACCAAGAAAGAAGAAGATATGGTCTACTGAAAGCAGGAGACACAACAGATACAAGAGGCCATGGGAATACCCAAGATGAAGAAAAAGGGTGATCCCAGGACAGCAGCTATGCCCCAGATCCAAGTCACTGAGGCTTATCATTAAAATTATTGTAACCTCTTCTCAACCTGAGGACCAAGTATCCAGATAAACCTGGCCCAGATTCTTAACTGGGTTTGGCTTTTTCTTGACCATGTTCTGATAAAGTTTATATATTCTCCCCTCTATGTTCTACAAAATAGATGATGTGAAGGCTCCCAGAAGTGTTAAGTGTTCTGCTTTGATTTACTTTTTTTTTTTTTTTTTTTTTGAGATGGGGTCTCACTCTGTTGCCCAGGCTGGCGTGATCTTGGCTCACTGCAACCTCCGCCTCCCAGGTTCAAGCAATTCTCCTGCCTCAGCCTCCTGAGTAGCTGGGATTACAGGCGCTTGCCACCATGCCCGGCTAATTTTTGTATTTTAGTAGAGGCGAGGTTTCCCCATGTTAGCCAGGCTGGTCTTGAACTCCCTGACCTCAAGTGATCCGCCCGCCTCAGCATCCCAAAGTGTTGGGATTACAGGCGTGAGCCACCAGGCCCGGCCTGATTTGACTTACTTCTGAATAACCCACTCTCTCTGATCATATTTCTGACTAGATTTTCCTGGTTCATATTGGTCATGTCACATGTCCTAATTATGGGTATTATGTTTGCCAAGAGTCACACATGCCCCAGCACACTGCCTTCCCCAAAAGTGGCTCTTGTAAACTGTTGAGGAACCAGAAGTCACACTATTAACACTAGAGTCTCTTGTTTAGTTTTACTTCTCCTAAGAGCCTCCTCTAATAGTGACAATATGGCCCCTTCCTTATATAGCTATATTCGTGCCTGTTATTCAGCTTTCCAAAGATAAACAATATCTTGTTCAGGGATACTTTTATCAGTGAAGAAAGAAAGAAAGAGAGAGAAAGAGAGAGAGAGAGAGAGAGAGAGAGAGGAAGGGAAGGGAAGGGAAGAAAGAGAAAGAAAGAGAAAGAGAAAGAGAGAAAAGAAAAAAGAAAAGAAAAGAAAAAAAAAGAAAAAAAAGAAAAGCAAGAGAACACTGAACGTCACAGCCAGGTATAGGTTACACCTACAAAGGAAGGGAAGAGGATGCAATTGGAGAGAACACAAGCTGGTGGTAGCAGTACCATTCTATTTCTTAACTTCTAGAGTAGGAAGACAGGTGTCAATTTTAATAGTCTTTAAACCATATATAGGTTTTTAGACATTCTACTTAAGTATAATACACTGCTCAATTTAAGGATCAGAAACTAGCAAAAAAACATTTTGCAACATACTGCATGTTACCCTTCACTAGTGACCAAGTTGTTTCTTCAACAAAGCAGTAAATAAAACATTATCTTCTGATTATGCACGTTGGGGACAAACCGCCCCAAAAAAGCTTCTTGGTACTGTCAACACTCCCCGCAAACTCCTCCATACTGCCCACCCCTCCCCTTAATGCAACTCTTCTCTGTGCCATTCACCCTTCCCCCAAGCCTCTTTACATTTCTAAGCCCTTATCCAGGTGCCGCAGTGGAGCCAGAAGACTTCCCTTATCAAACCTTGCTGCGATAAGCAAACCCCAATTACAAACCATCCAGGACCACACAGGGGGAGGTCATGAGAAGCATAAACAAACTTTACCTATACCCTCCTTGTAAGTTCCTTCATCTAGCTGTTTCCATAAACGTCACAAGCTGATATATGGCAAAGTTAACCAACTAACGACCCCAGGGTCTCTCTCCCCCATATAAACCCCTCATTTTGTAAGCTCAGGGCTGCCTCCTCTGTCTGTGCTGGAGCAGCTGGCAGGTTCAATAAACTTACTCGCCTGACTTTGGGTCTATTCGTCCTTTCTCTCGGCTGACCTTACAGTATATGAGATGCTGAATAAAAGAAGATATACCAAAAATGGAAGTTAATGTTTTCTAAAATTCTATATGAAATGTTTTCATTTTATTGTAAATCACCAAAATATATGTATCATATAAAGAACATTCTGAATATGTTCAAATTACAGAAACATTACCCAAAAACATCATCACGTATTTGAAAAAGTAACTTTTACATATGAATAATGCTCATCTTTTTTGCATAAAGATGATGCCAACCAACCTATCATTGGAAGGACGTTAGGCTATGAGAAATTTTGCCAGTTGTGGTGAAGAACTGGTTTTTAAGCCATCCCTCATTTCCTAGTTCTTCATGCATGAGGTCATTAATTAATGATCTTCTAAAAAGAAAAACAAACTAAATTATCAAACTAGCTGTAGAAAAAAAAAATAGTCAAGCAAGAGTTTGTGTAGTCAATGGTGTGGCTGATATTTTCACATTCATTTCTAACCACACTCTCAATCCCCATTATCGATTTGAAAAGGTTATTGGTTTCCTGGCAATCTCAGTGATTGTTTTAGTCCAGAAATGGGCACATGAGTTCAGGCAGCCCAATCACCACTGATTTATAGATGGTAGACGTGAAAAAGGTTCTCTTTCTACTAATGCATGTGAACAAGGAAGCATATATTACCAACTGCCACCACAAGGGAACTATCTTGGGATGAAGCCCACAGAAGAACAGACTGAAAAGTAACTGGATCCTTCTAGACTTTAAACCATGCCTGGAGAAAAATTCACCTATGAACTTCCTATTATGTGAGGTAATAAATGTCCTTACTGTTTATGCTAGAATCATGTATTTAATACTTGTGCCTAAA